AAAATGTTGTCAATTATACGTGCAAGACTTTATGAACATAAGATGCATTGTAATTTCAATTAAAAATGAAAACTAAGCCAGGCACAGTGGTGCATGCTTATAATCACGACACTTTGTGGGGCCGAGCTGAGGCAGGTGGATTGGTTGAGCCCCGGAGCTCGAGACCAGTCTGGGCAACATGGTGAACTCCTCACTCTACAAAAAGTACAAAACTTAGCCAAACATAATGATGCACACCTGTAGTCCCAGCTACTAGGGAGGCTGAGGTTGGCCGCTTGAGCCCAGAAGGCAGAGGTTGCAGTGAGCTGAGATTGTACCACTTGTACTCCAGCCTGGGTGACAGTGGGAGGCCCTCCCTCAAAAAAAAAAAAAAAAAAAAAGAGAGACAGAGAGATAGACAGAAAAAAGGGCTGTATTAAGCTGTTCTTGCATTGCTATAAAGAAATACCTGAGGCCAGGTACAGTGGCTCATGCTGGTAATCCCAGCACTTTGGGAGGCCAAGGTGGGCAGATCACAAGGTCAAGAGATCAAAACCAGTCTGGGCAACATGGTGAGACACCATCTCTACTAAAACAAAAATTAACTGGGTGTGGTGGCACATGCCTATAGTCCCTGCTACTCGGGAGGCTGAGGCCGGAGAATTGCTTGAATCTGGTAGGCAGTGGTTGTAGAGAGCTGAGATCCTGCTACTGCACTCCAGCCTGGCGGCAGAGTGAGACTCCGTCTCAAAAACAAACAAACAATGCTGAGACCGGAGACTAGGTAATTTATAAAGAAAATAGGTTTAATTGACTCGCAGTTCCTGCAGACTCTGCAGGAAGCATAGCACTGGTATCTGCTTCTGGTGAGAGCCTCAGGAAGCTTCCAATCATACAGAAGGCAAACGGGGCACATGCACATCACATGGGGGAGTAGGCACCTCACAGGGCAAAAGCAGGAGAGAGGGAGAGTGGGGGAGAGTCACCATGCATTTAAACAACCTGATCTCATGAGAACTAATAGGATGGTGCCAAACCATTCACTGAGAAATCCACCCCCATGATCCAAGCACCTCCCACCAGGCCCCACCTCCAACACTGGGGATGACATTTCAAAGAGATTTGGGGAGACAAGTATCCAAACTGTATTAGTCTGTTCTCACACTGCTATGAAGACTTGCCCGAGACTGGGTAATTTATAAAGAAAAGAGATTTAATTGACTCACAGTTTAGCATGGCTGGGAAGGCCTCAGGAAACTTATAATCATGGCAGAAGACAAAGGAGAATCAAGGCACCTTCTTCTCAAGTTGGCAGGAAGAAGTGCCGAGCGAAGAGGGAAAGAGCTTCTTATAAAATCATCAGATCGCGTGAGAACTCACTCACTATCATGAGAACAGCATGAGAGAAATCACCCCCATGCTTCAGTCACCTCCACGGGATCTCTCCTTTGACATGTGAGGGTTACGGGGATTACCATTCAAGATGAGATTTGTGTGGGGATTCGAAGCCTGACCATATCACAAACTACATCGAAGGCGAATCCTGGTATTGATGAGATACGGTATTTAAACAGAAAGTAGTCTCTTTTGTCTACGCTAGCCAAAGACTGAAGAGGCCTTTGGGCAAGATGGTGGTCTTCCCTAGGCCCCTGAGCCCATGTTGTGTTGGAGCTTAGGATTTTATTTGCAGTAGCCTGGTGTGTTGATTGAGCATGGGCTTTGCAGTCTGAGAGGAGTGCATTGGCATTTTATCTTTAATTCTGAGTCTCCGCTTCTTTATCTGTGAAGGTGGAATAATAACATCATCCTTCCAGGACTTTCTGTGAGGATCCAGTGAGATAGTCTAGGGAAAGATGCCCGTCTCAGTACTTAGTACTTAGGACATTTGCATGAGTTTCTCCTTCCCTTCCCCATGCTCTCCTTGCTTCTTTCAAAAGCTCACAATAAAAAGGTGAAAAAGAACTTAAGAGTAGATCATGACCTTAGAAATTTTAAATACAGAAAACTTCTTAGGATACTAAATAGAATCCTGTAGGTCTCATCACTCTTGGGTGTAATGCTGGTTTCCTGCTGCTGCTATCATAAATTACTATAAGTTTAGTGTTTAAAAACAACACACATTTGGCCAGGTGCAGTGGCTCATGCCTGTTATCCCAGCACTTTGGGAGGCTGAAGTGGGCAGATCACTTGAGGTCAGGAGTTTGAGGCCAGCTTGGCCAACTTGGTGAAACCCCATCTCTATTAAAAACACAAAAATTAGCCAGGAGTGGAGGCGCACACCTGTAATCCCAGCTACTTGGGAGCCTGATACAGGAGAATCGCTTGAACCCGGGAGGTGGAGGTTGCAGTGAGCAGAGATGGCGCTGTGCCCTCTAGCCTGGGTGACAGATTGAGACCCTGTCTCAAAAACAAAACAAAAACAAAAGCATGCCACACATCTATTATCCAATGGGTCTCGAGGACAGAAGTCCAGGCCGCATTCATTTCTGAGGGCTGTAGGAGGAATCTGTCTCCACTGTGTTTCCAGCTTCTCTACGCTGCCTGCATTCCTTGGCTTGTGGCCCCTTCCTCCATTTCGAAGGCCAGCAGTACTGCCTCTCTTTGTGCCTTTCTTTCGTTGTCATAACCCTCTGCCTGACTCTGACTCCTGTCCTTCTCTTTTGTTTTTAAAGATTTTAAGGATGTTTACATTGGGCCTAGCTGGATAATTCAAGATAGTTTCTCTAATATGAGTTATCTGATTGGCATTCTTAATTCACCTGCAACCTTAACTCCCCTCTGCAATATATTCACAGCTTCCAGAGATTAACACATGGATAGTTTGGAAGCCATTGTTCAGTCTATTACAAGTACTAAAAAACAAAACAAAACAAAACAAAACAAAACAAATCACTGTATATCTCCCTTGCTTCTTGTTTGATTGAAAATGTGTTGTGTGTGGATTTTTAAAATTCCCTTGTTTGGATACTTATAATTTCAACTGATGCCTCTATCATAGCATTTGTGCATTATATAGAAATGATCTGTTTATTTTGCATGTCAGTTTATCCCCTAATACATATGCTTCTAGAGGGAATATATCATATTCATCTTTGAGTTTTCTGAACACAGCCCAATGCCTAGTGCAAAACAGACATTAACAAGTGATTATGTGCTCAACTGAATGAACTTGGTTGATTTTGTAACAATTTCTTATTTTGTCCTCTTTTAAACTTTTACAAATAACTTCCAAAACCTGAGTGCTTTTGATATCAAAAATGTATATAGTCTTTCCTTTTATATAACAATTGGCTGTCTCACATGTACCGAGAAGTAAATTATTTGTTTCATTCAGCTAAGTGGAAATTCACACAAGGAATGCAGAAAAATGCAATGAAATTATTTTCAGGTTACTCAAAAGAGAATGAAGGTCTGAGAAGTTTCTTAATATATATAAGTAGGATTTTATTGCAAAGGGAATTGGACGTTGTTTTCCTGGGAAGCTTTGGTTCTAACAATGAAGCATTGTTAGAATGCTTCTATGATTATATGCGTAATCCATGAATGTGAGTCTGTCAGATCTTATTACATAACTTTCTATTGTATTTAGTGTACATTAGTATCTATATCAGTACAAATAATTGATCCAGTTTTTGGTGAAAGCCAAACTAATATTTTATTGCATGATTATGTCAATTTGACAATATGCAAATTTCTGGGTGAATGTCTGCTGCTTCTGTTGTTTTTGTTTGTTTATTCTTATTTTCTCTGAGTATAGTCCTCTGAATGTAGATGAGTGATTTAAGGCCATCCTTTGACTCATTCTCAGATCATCCATTAATACTGATTTTTTTGGGCCAGGAGTGGTGTCTCATGCCTGTAATCCCAGCACTTTGGGATGCCCTGTAAGATGATCACTTGAGGCCAGGAATTTGAGACCAGCCTGGGCAACATTGTGAGACTTTGTCTCTACAATTTTTTTTTTTAACTAGCTGGTTGCAGTGGCAGGTGCCTGTCATTCCAGGTACTTGGGAGTCTGAGGTGGGAGTATCATTTGAGACCAGGAGATCAGGCTGAGCTATGATCATGCCACTGTATTCCAGCCTGGATGACAGAAAGAGATCCTGTTTCCCCTCCCCACAAATCAAAACCACAAAAAACTGGTTTTAGGGGGCCAGTCTAAAGAGATGTTCCACTAATTAATCCGCTTACCACATACTTCTATATTTGAGACCTTTCATTAATAGCCTTCTCTTTACTTTGCACTCTTAACTTCTCTTCTATAGTTTTCTTTATTGATTTTTCTGCTCCTAACGATCAACATTCTTCATTTCCACAGTCTTTTCCAAAATAGCATTTCCTTTCCCTTGGGAAAAATAGGCATAGAACTGCCTCTAAATCAAAGGCCTCAAGTACCAAAGGTAACCTCATGGCTTTTTGTGGGCCAGTGAAAACACACAATCATTACCACAAATTGAATCCCGTTCTTGGAAGAAAGATTTACCTATTCCCAGCTATCTGCTTCTTGTTAGTCATACCAGTCTGTGTGCAGTGATTTTATATGAGTTAAAACTGGTCAATGGGATAAGTCCCTAAAGTGTGTGCTTCTTTGGTAGGTAATTCTGTCATTTCTAGTGATAGTACAATTTTGAAATAAAGTTGGAGTAAATATTAGAACTGTGCTTTCCCCTATTGTATAAAAAGTGAAAGGGATAGAGAAATATATTTCTCTGTTTTAAAACTATTAATTCATTCTTCTTTATTTCAAAAAGAATCCATAAAAATACAAATTTACAAAAGAAAATATCTATAATCTCACCAACCAGGGGAGAGAGTTAACATCTAAGCGGTTGTTCTTTCCAATTTTAATATAAATATGTGTGTGTGTGTGTGTGTGTGCGTTTTTCTATGTGTTTACCCTTTTATTTTTAAATAACAGAAATGTCATCATGTACACAATCTGTCCCCCTCCTAAAATGAACTCACTTTGGGGGCAGGGATTGTCTTTCTAATTTTATTATCTGCTCTATTCTCCTTCCTAGAAGAGTGTCTGGTATACTGTATGCTAATCCAACAGGACTGTGGTCTTATAAGAAGAGGAAGACTCTCTCTCTACCATGAGAAGACACAATGAGAAGGTTGCCATCTACAAGCCAGAAGGAGAGCCCTCACTGGAAGTCAGCCATGATGGCACCCTGATGTCAGACTTCCAGCCTTCAGAGCTGTAAGAAAATAAATGTCTGCTGTTTATAAGCCATGTAGTCTCTGCTATTTTGTTATGGTAGCCCAGGTTAATACAGATGAATAGACTTGTTCAAACGTTTTTCTTCCTCACTTACTTAATTAGGGTATATGTCTAGAAGAAAAATTGCATTGGTTAGAGAGGATGAACATTTTTAAGGTTTTTGATACCAGATGGTAAATTGGCCCTAGAAAGGTTAGATAATTTAAAATGTCACTGGCAGTGTATGATGATGGTCCCTTTATCTCCCCACCTTCTTGCTATAACTGGGAATCTGTTTGTTGATTTATTTTTAATTTTGATCAATTTTATGGGGAGAAAGAGGTTTGTTATTGCTTTCACATTTGTGGCACATTGATGACTACTCACATTCAACATGTTATCACATACCTGTGGAATATTTGTCTTTGCTGTTTTGTAAATTTTTTATCGTGGTCCTATGCCAATCTTTCTTTTGAGGGTTCTAAATTTGGTACTTGTGAATGTGACCTTATTTGGAAATAAGGTCTTTGCAGATGTAATCAAGTTAAAGTGAGGTCATTTTGGAATAGGCTGGGCCGTAATCCAAGGATCGGTGTCTTCATAAGAGGGAAATTTGGACACAGGTAACACAGAGAGGAGAATGCCACAGGATGAAGGAGGCAGAGATGGAATGATGCATCTACAAGCCAGGGCTACTGGAAACCATGAGAAGCTGGGAGAGACGCAGGTAACAGATATTCCCCCAGTCTCCAGGAAAAATTAACCCTGCCATTACCTTGACTTCCGACTTCTTGACTACAGACTGTAAGAGAATATGTTTCTCCTGTTTGAAGCCACCCAGTTTTTGGTCATTCCCTATGGCAGCCCTGGGAAACTAAATACAGCTCATTTCACACTCTGTTTTAAAAATATTTGACATGGTTGCCAACAACTAAAATTTGGAAGATTTCATATGAAAATAGAGATTTTGCTTAAAAGCCTCCAAAATCATGAGCCCTCATGTTATTGTGGCCCCTGCCTAGCCCTTCTACTTGCTTTCTCTGCGTGGAGCGGAATTGCCATGTTCCCCTATGCCTGCAAGAAGGTGGGGGACAGCTATCTTTTACATTTTTTTCTTTTTATATCTTAAGGGTAAACGTATCCCAACACCATTTATTAAGCAACCCAACAAATCTGTACAGATATGCGTTTTATCTTCTACTATGTGCTCATATAACACTTGAGTCTATTTTGGGTCTTTCTATTCTGATGCTCTAATCTGTCTAAAAAGTCTCTCATCACACTGCACAGTTGGACTTATGACAGTTTAAAAATACGATGTTAAATCTCATCGAACCAGTAGGTGACCAAAGTTCCCTTAACACTCAAATTTTACCAGTTAGGTTAAGTGAGCTGCACAGCAGTGTACACAGATTCTGCTTAGTAGACTTAGGTGACTCCAACCTCTTGAATAGGTCTTCCTACTGACAGTGGCAGCCACTGGTTTTCTGACCTCTGATGGTTGGTTTTTCAGTTCTGATTTCTTTTTTCTGATAAAAATAATTAGAGTAAGAGCTGTATGATTGTTTTTGCAATTGTGAACATCACTTGTCATCTGAAAAAAAACAAGGCATTAAAATATGGAAGACATTTCTCAGTCTTGTAAAATTCATTAAAATGCACATGAATGTCCTTTTTCTTGAAGCACAGTGTCACCTCCTTGAATATTGTGTGTGTAAAATGTGAATTAGTAGAAAAAGAAGTACCTAAGAGAATTATGTCTGTAGAATCCATAAAGGTGTGCTTAAAATGATTAACTTATAATACTTAGAAAATCTTTTTATTAAATTTTTCATATTTTTAAAATGATTACAGATTCACAGGAGGTTTTCCAAAGAAATGAATAGGAAGGTCTTCTGAACTCTTCCCCCCAGCCTCTCCCAGTGTTAACATTGAATGTAAGTACACCAGCACCATTATGGAATTAATTCGGATTTCACCATTATAGAGGTATTTATTTGTATGTTTGTGATGGTTAATTTTAGGTGTCAACTTGACTGGGTTAAGGGTTATCCAGAGAGCTGGTAAAGTATTATTTCAGGTATGTTTGAGAGATGTTTCTGGAAGAGACATGAATCAAAGGACTGAGTAAGGAAGAACTGCCCTCACCAATGTGGGTGGGCACCATCCAGTCTGCTAAGGACCCAGGTAGAACAGAAAGGCAGAGGGAAGCTGAATTCATCTCTCTCTCTCCTGGAGCTGGGACACCTGCTTCTCCTGCCCTCGGAGAGCAGAATTCCAGGTTCTCCCACCTTTAGGACTTGTATTCTCAGGCCTTCTCTGTCTCAAACTGAGAATTATACCATCAGTCTCCCTGGTTCTCAGGCCTTCAGATTTGAACTGAGCCATGCTTCCCGCTTCCCTCGTTCTCCAGCTTGTAGGAAACCTATTGTGGGACTTCTTTAGTCTCCATCATCACATGGATCAATGCCCCTAATAAATTTCCCTCTCTCTCTTTCTCTCTCTCTGTCTGCAAGCCAGGAAGCAGGTCCTCACCAGACACCAGATCTTCAGGGGCCTTGATCTTGGTCCTACCACCCTCCAGAACTATAAGAAATAAATGTATGTTGCTTATGTTAATTTTCCAGCCTATGTTAATTGTTTTTAACAGCCTGAAAGAAGATCACATTTAGCATGAATTCTTGTTTATGTCACTTTCTGATGTTTTGCACTTTAATTTCTCCCTTCTTCTTGCCTTTCTACATTTTTTCCTTTATGTATCCATTCTTTTCACTCAATTTTGCTTTCTTTTAACATTTACATATACATGTACCATTTTCTTTTCTTTTCTTTTTTTTTTTTTTTGAGACAGAGTCTTGCTGTGTTGCCCAGGCTGGAGTGCAGTGGTGCGATCTTGGCTCACTGCAACTTCTGCCTCCCCCAGTTTAGGTGATTCTCCTGCCTTAGCCTCCTGATTAGCTGAGATTATAGGCACATGCCACTATGCCCAGCTAAATTTTTGTATTTTTATTAGAGATGGGGTTTCACGGTGTTAGCCATGATGGTCTCAATCTCCTTACCTTGTGATCCACCTGCCTTGGCCTCCCAAAGTGCTGGGTTTACAGGCATGAGCCACCGCACCCAGCCTACATGTACCACTTTCTATTTTTCTGATGTAGTTTCCTTCAAAATGGCAAAAACATATGACCACATATAAATATGTACTAAGAGCATAGTTCCAGATAGATGTATGGTTCAGGCCAATTGTAGCAAGCAGTTCCAGCAGGAATATCTGTGACTGTGGTTTTCAAACTTTAAGAATACTAATTTAACGTTAGTCAATATACACTTATGAAATACATTGAAAATAATTTTAAAAGAAGCTTGGAATTTATATTCTTCCTGGCATAAATTACCTTCTTCATCAGGTGTATTTGATCTTGTCTCTTAATCAGTTCAGTGGAAGACAGTAGACGGAGCATTTATCTTATGTGCTTTTTACCTTCTGCCATAAAGTTTGATGATAATATGGTAAAATTATGTTTGGTATCATTTGTACAATCTGGTGAAGTTAGAGTTAGCTCAGTTTATCTGATCACATTTGTATATACAGGATGATGACACATGAGGAAACTCGGCTTAAAGAAAAATCGAAAGGATTAATAATTCAGATTTTTCTTCCACAATATCAAAGACACACGGAACCCGAAAGACCTAAGCACACATTCTGCAGCAGTGTAGCTGATTTTACAAGGTCATCTTACCACTGTTGTAGAATTATAGCTCAGTGCCACACCTACAGCATTTAACGTAAAGAAGGCGTATTTTGTCACATAGCTGCTCAAAATTGCAGTCTTAGGAGTAATTTTATTTGTGAAAATTATTTGTGTAAAATGAGGATTCCCCTTTTGAAACATGCTGTAATTAGCTCCATGTTAACTTTCAGAATAGTCCTTCACATTTTTGAGTTTCTTTTTTTTCAAGTAGACCCAGCATTTGTTTTGAACTCTCCTCTGGTAACTCTTCTAGGAGGCAATTTTGCTTTTTCTTACATTCTTTCTAACTAGGTAATTTATTTCAAAAAGTGGGCCTTGCAAATACCAGCCAAGAGGTGCTGATGCTGTGACTGTAGAGAATCCCAAGGGTAATCCCATGTCTTAGAAATCATTCCAGCCAGGCGCAGTGGCTCACGCCTGTAATCCCAGCACTTTGGGAGGCCGACGTGGGTGAATCACAAGGTCAGGAGTTCAAGACCAGCCTGACCAACATGGTGAAACCCCGTCTCCACTAAAAATACAAAAATTAGCCGGGCATGGTGGTGTGTGCCTGTAATCCCAGCTACTCGGGAGGCTGAGGCAGGAGAATCGCTTGAACCTGGGAGGTGGAGGTTGCAGTGAGCCTAGATTGTACTACTGCACTCCAGTCTGGGTGACAGAGCAAGACTCTGTCTCAGAAAAAAAAAAAAAAAAAGAATGCCATTTTTTTTTTTTTTTGAGGCGGAGTTTCGCTCTTCTTACCTAGGCTGGAGTGCAATGGCGCGATCTCGGCTCACCGCAACCTCCGCCTCCCGGGTTCAGGCAATTCTCCTGCCTCAGCCTCCCGAGTAGCTGGAATTACAGGCACGCGCCACCACGCCCAGCTAATTTTTTGTATTTTTAGTGGAGACGGGGTTTCACCATCTTGACCAGGATGGTCTTGATCTCTTGACCTTGTGATTCACCCGCCTTGGCCTCCCAAAGTGCTAGGATTACAGGCTTGAGCCACCGCGCCCGTTCTAACAGCATGGGAGAAACCTCTTACAGTTCTCCATATTGCTACCCCAGAGACCGTTCAGCTTTTGCGTTTCTCATTTAGACCTCAAATGGCTTGGAGGTGAGTGCTGATGGACAGCAGCAGGAAGGAACTTAGAGCTGTGTGTGTCTTTGGAAGAGTTTTTGCAGAGAAGCTGGGCTAAACTCAAGGCAAAGGTCCACTACACCTGGGCCTGGAACAAAAAAGTTCCTCACAGGGTTTTCAGCCTTGGAGGTAATCTTTCAGATAGTCATAGGTCATTTAGTAAAATTGAAGAGGCTATAAACTCGCTGGTGTGCTGCCTAAGGGTTCCTTGGCCATAAATTGATTCTGTTTTGGATGAAAAGCAAGTGTTTCACAGTATTTAAATTAGCCTGACCTCCCAGAGTAAGCTGCAGATGAAGGGATTTTAGGAAATTTCATTAAAGTGGGAGTTAACTTGAGGTTGATGATGGGTTTGAGGCGTTTATGAAACCACGTTCACATATATGTTGCAAAATTGCAGTTTTCTGGGTAAGGGGCATGTGACTCCTAAGAAAAATAGTAAATGACTCTGCTTCTCAAACTGAAATCCAAAGCTATGTTTTTAAGGGATATGCAATATAAATGAGAATATTTTAAAATTGTGTTTATTTGTATAATAATTGGATATCAAATTAATATTCAGATACTTGAATAATGTATTTGGATAATTTTTTTTAAACCCATAGACTTGTTCATGATTATCTGGGTGACTTCTTTATGTCCCAGTATTACTATGCAGTTTCAGCTTCTGTGTTTATTATTTTTATTTTTTTGAGACAGGGTTTCGCTCTGTTACCCAGGCTACAGCTCACAGCAGCCTGGATCTCACAGGGCAAGTTATCCTCCCACCTCAGCCTCCCAAGTAGGCTGGGACCACAGACAGACACATGCCACCACTCCTGGCTAATTTTTAAATGGTTTTTTGTAGAGATGGGGTTTTGCTATGTTGCTCAGGCTGATCTCAAACTCCTGGTCTCAAGTGATTCTCCCAGCTCGGCCTCCCGAAGTGCTAGGATTACGGGTGTAAACCACCATACTAGGCCCTGTGGTTGTATTTTTAAGCGATTAAACTCATGCTCACTGGTCATTTAAAGTGATGCTATGCAACTTTAAGGTAGTATTTCCCACACTGGGTATAGAGAGCAGAAGTGCTCTACACTGGCCTGTGATTCCTCAGGTATGAAATCAACTGCTCTAGACATTGATTAATTAGCTCAATAAGTGTTTTTAAAGCTTACTATTCACCCAAATTGTTTCTACTATTAAAACACAAACATGAACAAGGTCCAGTATTTGTTCTTCAGGAGTTTATATCTAATGGGGCAGACGGATGAAAAACCAATGTTTGGGATATACTAGTTCCCCTTTATTCTTGGGGGAGACGTTCCAAGACCCCCAGTGAATGCCTGCAACAGTGGATACCAACCACACATATACTAAGTTTTCTTCTATACATACATGACATACTTATGAAAAACCTTAATTTATAAATTAGGCAAAGGATTAACAATTACTAAAAATAGAATAGAACAATTATAACAATATGCTGTAATCAAAGTTATGTTAATGTATTTCCAAAATATCTCATTGTACTGCATCACCTGTTTTTGGACCAGGGTTGACTGCAAGTAACTGAAACTGAGGGAAGCAGAACCATGGATAAGGGGAGACTCCTGTATTTGGGAATTATGGCAGGATACTAAGGAAATCCAGACATTGACTATGAAGGAGGAGCATCTGCTCAGTTTAGAGTGGGCAGACAGAGACCGGGGGGCTTCTCCTAGAGATGTTACTAGTGTGAGTTGAGAGCAATGCATAGACAAGCGGATCAGAGCAGAGTGGGAATGGGGCAGAGAACCTGTGTGCAAAGCCACAGAGGCATGAAGAGCCCGGTGCACTGGGGAAATTGCCAGGGATTCTTTCTTTCTTTTTTTGGATAGGGGAGACAGAGTCTTGTTCTGTCACCCAGGCTGGAGTGCTGTGGCTCAATCTCAGCTCATTGAAACTGTGATATAGCTGGCCTAGAATTAGAACCAGTACAATGCCATTTTAAAATGGGAAAACTGTTTCCATTCTCCTCACAATGACTGCTAGCCATGGCCTCTGTAAACTACTAAGATTACCTTGCAAAATGCAAAGAGAGGACAAGCTGCATACTTTCTCTTATCTGTAACTGCCAGAATTGCTGGCCTTTGTTTACCAAAGTAAGCACCCCCAGATAATTCCATCCTGGCACCAAGTAACCTAAAATTATGTGGACCCCACACCTGTCCAAATAATGTATAAACTAATGTTTACCTTGACCTCTGTAAACCACTTAAGTGGCAATCAGAATGACAAAAGTCCCCTGGCCCTTGGAATATCTGGAGCCCCCTCACCCTCGTCTCAGCCTAGGAGGTGATTGACAGCTTTCATCCCCATCTCCACTCCTCACCCCCACTCCCAAGGTGGTTTTGTGGGTATAAAAAGGTCTTGTCACTCTTCTTTCTCTGCCACGGGTTGGAGAGACGTGAGTCCTCCGTGGTCGCCGGCAATAAACCCTGCAATTTGGCATACTTTTGTTCTGGTGTTGACTTTCTGTGCTCAGTTCAATGCAACAAAACGTCCACCTCTTGGGTTCAAGCAGTTCTTATGCCTGAGCCTCCCAACATAGCTAAGATTATAAGTGTGCACCACTACACCTAATTTTTTTGTTTTTTTTTTTAGTAGAGACGGGGTTTTGCCATGTTGCCCAGGCTGGTCTCAAGGTCTTGATCTCGTGATCTGCCCGCCTGGGCCTCCCAAAGTGCTGGGATTACAGGTGTGAGCCACCTTGCCTGACTGTCAGGGATTCTATTTGGAGAAATCTCGGGGAGGTTGTGTAGGTAGATTGGAAGGAAAAATGGAAGACAAAGCCAAGGGCCGGATGACGAAAGATTTAAGAAGTTTGTAAATGGTGGAACACTGATGAATAATCTCAGACACAAGACTGGCAGGGTCAAAGTTTTAATCTAGGAAGATAATTTAGAGCAATATGAAAGCTGGGTTCTTGAATCATGAAGATGAGTTAAGAAATTATTTATTTTTAAATGTTTTCAAAGATAATATAATAAAAATAGAAATAAATATTCTTGTGAGAAATGGGGAATGGAGGGACGGGAGTTGATAATTGGTGGGAAATCAGCAAACACAAGGAGGGCTTTTAGAAGGACTCAGCTGAGTCAGGTTGTCTTGATTGCAAGTCTTTCATTGGGGCGCTGCCTCAAAATTAAGTTCAGCTGTGATTGATTGACAGCACCAACTAAACCCTAAACAAGCACACTTTCTCATGAATGCAGGCTTGTCTAGGGCTTCACGTTTTTTCCATACCATCATTAAAGATCCATATTTACCTATTATTTTACTCCAGCGTCCTCAGCATAGCCTCTACCT